AAACCTCTCGAGGATGCGTAAGCCTGCCTCCGTAGAACAATTAGATTGAAAAAGTTTTCGCGCGTGTGTGTGCTCGTTTGTTCATTTCATAAGAACGAGAATATGTGTATATATGTGTTCGTGTGTGTAAGAAATAGAACGCAACGAAGCGCGCGCGTATGTGTGTATCTACTGTTGTACGTGTGAGAGAGAGTTTGTACCGTGTGTGTGCGCTTGTCAAAGCGTGTGTACAGAGGGACAAGAACAAACGATGTCCGCCGATAGAAGGGAAAGAAAATGCGTGAAAGAAAAATGAGGAAAGATGGTGCGCTAACGCAATCGTCATCATCGTTATTCACTCCGTTACTAAATATGTGTGTCTCTCGTACGTTCGCCTCCCCCCCACCCTACCCCGCATCTAACCCAAAATTCTGCTTCTTCCGCCTGCTTACGCCGGGATTTCTCTTACGAGCTAACAAAGAACAGTATTTTTTGTTATTTATTTACTTATACGCTGTTTATCTTCTTTTTTTTTTTGTCGGTTTTTCTGTTGTCGTGTGTTTCTCCCGTTTTAAACGCCGCCGCCGCCGCGGCCTGTCGCACGCCCACCTTATAATCGTAGTATAAATCCCCCGCGGTTCGTTTGTTTGTTTGGTTTTTTTTTTTTTTTTGGTTTTTTTCTCTTTTTCGTTTAAGTTTGTTTTGTCGATTTTACTTACTAATGATACGGATAATAAAATTCACTGGCATTGTTTTGAATCATCTTGGCAGTTCATTATGTGTAGTTATTATTTCTTCTTTTTTTTACTTATTATTCTCTCGTTTTTTTTTGTTTTTCTTGCTTTTTCGGTTTTTCAAGAATATTAACGTGTGCGCTTTGCTCTTAACCGTGTGTGTTTCGTTCTCGTTCGTCTGTTTCGTCTTCTTTCTTTCTTTTTTTGTTACTTTTTTCGTTTTTTTCGTTTCTTTTAAGCACAATAAAAGGAGCAGTGTGTACCCTTCTTCAGCTTCCCTCTCTTTTGTTTGTATATCTCTCCCTCTCTCTCTCTCTCTCTCTCTTTCTCACTCTTTCGCTCTCACTTTCTCTCTCTCTCTCTCTCTCTCTCTCTCTCTCTCGCTCTCTGGTTTTTCCACGAGATTCTCCCGTCGACACGAGAGAGGACCAGGACCAAACGAAAAATCGTTCAGTCGGTCGTGGACCGTGGCCGGGAAATTCGATTTATCCTTTAACAAATTCAAACGCTTCGACGGTCCTCGGTGCTCTCTGTTTCTTTGCGTACGTGTGCGTACATGTGTGTGTGTGTGTGTGTGTGTAGATGCATGTCCGTTTTTGACATGCGCGCACGCAGATTCATTTGCATCCCTCGCTACGATTCCGGAAACGAGTTTCAAAGGCTATACGTTCGAGCATCGATCTCGTTACGAGGAATTTGTCACCGTTTGCTCGAACGAAGCAAACAATACTTCCATATCACCGAAATTCCATGACAGAAAGAAAAAAAAAACAGGTAGAGAGAAAGAATTTGAAAATTGAGAAAAATCCATGAAAATTCTAATCATTCGTGCGATTCACCGCGAAACATTCGAACGGAAAGCGACTTGAAACTAGCTATCCGTTGCGTTCCTACCCGATCGAGGAGCATCGAATGCCAGGGATGCACATACCTCGGCGTGGGCCAACGTGATCGTCGTATGTGCGTTTCCTTGCATGCATGCGCGCGCGCGCGCGCCCTCTCGCCGTGTCTGTGTGTTACGTGTGTCGTGTGTGCGCGCGCGCACGAGTCAGTGTCCCTTTAAACGCGCCGGTGTGGGCTCTCTTATGTATATATATATATATATGTATATATCGTAAAGAATATGAAGAGCCTAGTGTCCTCGCATGGTTTGTTATCTCTTTTTTTTTTTGCATTTCTTTTCTCTTCCTATCACGGTGCGGATCTTCTGAAACGAGGCGACGCACGACTCTGAGCCACAAGCCTGATCAGCGTGACGTCCATGCATAGAATAAACGTCGTTGTGGACGTCGTTCTCGGAATCTTGGCATGCTCAGCGTGTCCGAGATCGTCGTCGTCGTCGTCTTTATCGTAATCGTAATCGTCGTCGTCCACGTCGTCGTCGTGTTCGCGTTCATCGGCGTCCTCACCGACACGCCGCACTCGTACACGAGCTTCGTCGACCTCCGGCCTTCCGGTGGCTGGTTGGCCACGTCCGAATCACGTGACGATGATGTGCGGCGCCGAAAGTAGGACGCTGATGGTGGCGATGATGGTAAACAGAGTAAAAATGATTAGGCACATTCTGTCGATCACCATCGCCGCGAACTTCCAGTCGTTCGTCACCTTCGTGTTCAGCTCTTCGGACTTCAGCTGATCCGTGATTATCTGGAACAGGAAGCCTCGTGTCAGGTTGATATCGCTCGTTGTTGGGGTTCGATGGATTCTTTATGGGAGAGAGCGTGAACGAGGAGAGATATTTGGACGGTTGTCGTGGATAAATATCGGGGTTGGCGAGGATCGACGGTGATTTCGAGGGTTGTTTGGTGGGAATGAGGTAATTTGCGGGGATTCTTGGTGTGGAGGATGGGGGAGATATTGATGCGAGGACTGAGGATTTTTATGCAGATTCATATTTTCAAAAATCGAAGCTTGATAGGCGATTGTTTCATTCGTTAAATATTAATTAATCTCTTTGCTTATTATGTATTATACGTTCTAGCAATTTCTACGAGTAATATATTTTAGGTTTGTTTATATATCTTTGCTTGTTACGTGCATTCGGTGTATTTTTGCGCTTCCAAGTTTTCCATAAACGATACGATACGGTTTTTAATTATTTATTAACATTGAAGGGAGACTTGAAAAAGTAATCTTCTGTTTAGAAAAAAAGAAGGATTAGAGGGGGTCTTTGAAGCAACTGCCCGTCAAAGTCATATCTTTTCCATATTAGAGTTGATCCCTCAAGTATTAATGTGTAATTAAGAATCCCTCGCGTACGTTTGAAATTACGCCGAGCACATGTGTTGCTACGCTGAATACGTTAATATAAAGCATCACGATAGTATGCACCGAAAGTTCTAATTCATCCTTCATCACTGTCTCCCTCCTGAACTTTGATCGTCCTGTGACTTCCTAACTCTCTCGCTGTTCTCCTCTGGGATCAATCTAGTAAGCATATAAGTAGTCGCCGGCAAAGTTGAAGATCTCCGTGGTCACATTTGATAGTTATTATCCGGTGAAAAATTGTGCTTGCACGTTCAATTTCTACTCCGTCAAATTTTCACGTGAAAGAAATTCAGAGATTATTTAATAACTTTTTGACACTTTTTAGAATACACACCGAGTCTTCCAATTATCTCTAACTTTCCTTTCAACAGACAGATTTCAAGAGTTTGTCGTATCAATTCTGATTGGAGAATTCTACAGATTTATGCGACAGAGAATGATTCCACATTCGTCAGCAGACAACGTGCAGCTATTATCTACGCTGCACGTGACTTTACACGAAAGTTTCTTCACTTACGAGCAAATTAAAGTGAGCATACAGTTGCTGGTAATTAACTCAAGTATCTCTGCGTATGTATATTCCTGAGGAGCTCGCTAATTGCGATTCTCGTTATTATTTCTCATTATCGTGTTATCCATCGACGAAAAATTAAGTAGCAACCCAACTTCGTAAACGTTGAACAACTGAATAAACTGCAGACGTTTGTTTGTAAAAGAGGATTTAGGATTTTTAGGATTTTTATGCAAATTTAGAACTTTACAATGTAAAGTAAAAAGAAAAAAAGTAAAAAGCACTATAATTTGTATATTTTGTATCTTCAAATTTCCTGCAAATGCACGAAAATCCGCGGTCTAGCGATGAACTTTCCAACAGATTTCAAAATTGACTTTCACTCGAAATGGGAAATGTCCCAGAAATGGGAAAATTTGGGATATGTTCCGATTCCGAGTGAAACGGGGGCCAAAGTTAGAGACGTACCTTAATTTCTTTGAGGATCAGTACGAGCTCGTAACGGGCACAGAAACACGCGTTTTGAAGTATAGTTTCGACCTGTGGACCAGGCGTTTCCGGTGGATGTTGATGATGGTGCGGCGTGTGACTAATCTGATGCGCCCCCGGATAAGAGGTGTGTGCCAGTGGCGTTGAGTGTTGATGATGTGGCGTTGCAGCATGGCTGTGATGATGGTGGGGCGTCGTGTGTATGTGACTGTGCCCGTGGCCCATCGTATGATGATGAGGGCCAGGGGTACTGTACACATTATTCAGGAGATTGTTGTGGGACGCCAGAGCATTGTCCTCAAGGTCCAGGACATTCGCTATGAGGGACTTGCTGCTCCTTTGATGAAGCTCCAGGTCACCGTAGCTCTTGCTAGCACCTATACCAATGGAATATGTTAATAAAGAAAAAGAAGAATCGTTTAGCAACTTTGCTTTGTCGTACTTTTACTTCGTAATTCCAAACACGCGGATTGGGAAATAGGAAATTAGACAAAGATGGGTCAATGAACACTTTACGAACTGATTTACTGTCGAATCAGGGAAACAACTTTTCGGGCAATCTTTCTGCTACAGGGAAATATGGATGAAACGAACAAAGATACTTGGAAATAAAACAATTAGAGGATCACATACTGCAGGCTGTTGTGCCAATCAATGTTGTATATAATTTCTGGAAATTTTTTGAAAAATATCGTCGAAGGGCAAATTTGAATATCGTCGAATCTGAAGAAACAGATTCTTTTTCTTAACGATTTTCCTGACCCGAATATTTTCTCACAGTATTCTCTAATTGTTTCGAGCAGTGTACGAGGTGTATGCCTACGGAAGAAGAGGCGAAAAGTTGAAAGATGGAAAAGTGGACGGTTAGTTTCTGCCAACATTTTACTTTCTTTAACAATACATCGGTACGTTATTCAAATACGGGTACACACATGCACACGACTTGAATAAGTCAGGTGTGTGCCCTGGAGTGTACTGTGAGGACCTTGCTAGTGAGTGACGTAAGAAATTGGTGTACGTGTGACACAGTAAAACATCTATATAGATAGTAGATAAATGTTGTCAGTACTTGTGTCGATGCTTTTTCGTGTCACTAAATTACCGGTGACTGGAGATGGTTTTTGAGACTTTTGTGCCTCCCTTTCTTCTTTATCACCTGGTCGTGACATACGAAGTATACAAGGCAGCCAATAAAGGAATACCACTTTCACCTGAAAATCCGATCGAAAATATCATTCTTTGTGCAATTTCAAAAACACGCAAATTCTCGTCTAAAAGAAACTAAACCTTCTACAAGCTAAAGCGATATATACTAATTCATTTAAGCGTTTAACTCTTTTCTCATCTGCGTTCTTACTGCTTCTATGCGAAATCATAGAGAGAGAGAGAGGGGAAAAAAAATAAATAAAAACCAGAAACAAACTACCAGTTCATTTCACTTATGGCAATTCGACTGTTATATGTACAAACTGAGGAATTTAATGACACACACTGATAACGCCGCGTCTCCGTGATTACGGAGCGCACGAGACAATGCAAAATCCATGCAAGGAGGAAAAGTATAGTATCATTCAAAAGGATAAATTGAGTTAGCGATCGAAGTAAACCTAGAGTGTAATTCCAAGCACATTGGCTCACGCTAATTAAAGTCACATTTACGATAGGATCGTCTATGGAACACACTCCGCGTAGTGAGGATGCAGAGAACAATAGAAATGCCCTGATTTTAGTCATAGTAACTAAGTGAAACATTGAAACATGTTATAAGCTTAACAATATCACGATGTAAGATATCTGTAAGAAAAGATTAAATCTCTCTTTGTCCTTTTCGTTTCTTTTTTTCTTTTTTCTCTACCAGAAACACATATTTCGTCGAAAGTATATTTCACAATTTAAACAAAATTCATGATATAATAATGATCCGATATACAAGCAACTAAACCGAAAGTTCTTATCGTACAATTGCTTACCCATTCGGACATTTCATGAGTGTCAGCGTTCCGATGATGATAATTCAAAATAAGGATGGTGCTGACAACACTGCTGGCCACCATAAACATAATGCAGTTGAAATATGTCCCTGTGGAAACATTAAACGTGTCATGAACCCGTCTAGAAGCTGTAACAATGAACTGCTTCAAATTAAAATCGTTGGAAAAAAGAATCATAACGCCGTTTAACAAACAGCGTTTCGATACGAAATTCTGGATCGATCACATTTCCATGTTACGCTGAATGAAAACATCAAACGTTCGCCTCGACCATTCCCGATCAAGACGTCAATGAGAATGTTTGTTCTCGAACTCCGCGTCTGCCCGTACGATCTGTTACTACTGTCAACCGACTCCTACCACTGTCAGTCGAGCAGAGAGAGTCCTGACTGCAATAGGGGATCGTCAGCTGAGGATAAAGGATCCTTGCACAATAAGCCTCGCTCGTAATACGATGCACCGGTCAGAGTAACGTATACGAAGGTTCCAAGATCTTTGTGCGGAAGCCTCGTATCGAGAAGGTATCCCGAGGAAACGGCAAAGGATTTTCACCTTGCTCCGTAGAAGATGATGATAATAAATCGCGGGAGAAAATACGTCGTGACAATGTCGAATTTTTTTTCCATGGAAAATATCGTATCGTAAATGGAGATGAAATATGTTGGCGAGGATTTCAGTCTTTTAGGAAAAATGTATGTGTTTATGTTTGCCGGCATTGGACGATTTATCGATCCTTTCGTTCACAAACGAAGCAACTGTTCGTTAACCCTCGTCCGTCCCTCAGTTTCGCATCTTAACACATTTGCGTCGGATTCACTTGGATTCCGAATGACTCGAAATACGTCATTGAGATTTTCACATATCTGTCTGAAAGTGAATTTATAAAACGCTGTAAATGATTGAATTTCTTTTCAGAAATGCCGTGACAGATGTTTCACGAATTCTAATAATTGTATACGTTTTACGAAAAAGTAATTTACCACATTCTTGAAAATTTCTTTGGAAAATAATAATTGGTTGAAAAATCACCCCGTGCACATGTTAAGCGCTGCTCTAATAAGTAAAAAGTCAATCAAGTGAAGAGATAAATAATTAATTTTGTAAATTCTTTTATCGAATGTAGAAAATAGAGAAACATTTTTTTCTGCAAATAGCCGAATGATACAATTTTTTACCGGAAAAGTGTGTCGAATTGGCACGAGGGACGGGTGAGGGTTAAGGATACTACTCCGTCTAGTCTGTCGTCTTTTGTTCCGCAATCACTTGGTCTGAAAGTTAAACAAAATTTGACACGTTCGTTGAAAGAAATAAACCGATCATCTCCGTGGGCTAGAATGTTCGGCTATCGGAAGCTACGCACGGAGAAAATACATTTTCCGAGGGATAGAACGTTCAGGTGATCGAGCGTTCGTGTAACGAACAAAGGACGACAATAATCAAGGTTCCCGCTGTATTATTTAATTCCACCGCGGGCTTCGATCCAAAATTCCACCGATGCGACTGCGGCACTCGGCGAATTTATCCAACCGGTTTCCCCAACGCGAAATCTACGCGAAGTACATGGAAATTCTTAGGACGATCTGTAGAAGGAGGAAAGAACTGTACGATTTCCAGGACATTCTGTAAAAACAAATGTTATCCTGCCGGTCTCGGGATAACGTTCCAATATTTCACGTCTCAGGTGAATTATGGATGAATGAATGATCAGCCCTTTTCATCTGCGAACACAGGTCCATTGTTCGCCGGACGAACCGTGTCCGAAAAAAAAACTCTGACTTTATTTCGAGCAAGGGAGAGAGAGGGGGGCAGACTCTGAGGGCATACTGGCCGATAAAACGATGTAATAGAAAAAAGGGGTCGGAAATTCACGGACTTACCCAGCAGAGGTACGGCGTCCGACGTCGCTGGCATTGTCTCGGCCACCATATTCAGGAACACAGTAAGGGACAAGAGAATAGTTACCCCTGCAAAAGAGGTTCGTTGGCCCAATTAATTATCGTTGTACACCAACACGCTAACCAGACGAGATTAATCCACAACAGGCTGAAGAGCTCGCAGCTGCTGACCCTAGGGGTCTCGAAAGCAGTAGCAGGTATCTCTGACCTTTCCTACTTTAGGCTACGTGAACTTTTGCTTTCAAACTACAAAACCGCGACTTTTATTGTTCGTTTGAGCATTACACAGAGGCCCTTCGTTGTTATTCGTTATAAAAGTCTCGGGTACACCTCGTTACTATTTATTCTGTGTTCATTTAGTCGTTTTGACGGAGATTTCTCGATAGAGAAATTTGAAAGATAGAAGATAATTGTTATTGACGCTTTCAAGTGTAAGTATTCCTTTACTAAACTTTACTTAGGTATTCCTTATCAAAGGAATACTTTTTCCATAAGGACACGGCTTACACTCGAAAGTTTCGATGATAATTACGCTCCGGACCGTGAAATTTTGAAATCTCAGAAAATAATAAATAATTTCGACCGAATACGTCTATTACCAAAATCTTCGAGGGTGATTTTCACCCTTCAACGTGAAAAATAAATGAAAATACGTGCCAAATATTTTCTTGAGTGCTACCATATATCAAAGTTTGATCAATATCGGTGATTATCACTTAAGGACCCTCCCTTACGAGTGTATTTCGTTAAATTCGACGATCTTCCTTTCGAAATTCTGAGGTGTACTAAAGACTTGCAATCCAACAACGAATTAACTCTTAATTTTCTCTGAGAAAGCAAAATCTCTCGATGAACCTCAGATAATGAACTGTAAAAATATTTCCTTTGAAGACTGTCAATATGTAGTACAGCATGAATTTTTCGTCTATTTTGTGTAAATGCAGTGATTGTTAGTTAAGGCAAACTTGATAGAACATCTGGAGAGTTAGTTCGACAGGAAGTTTACAATTCGCCCTGCTTAAAGGGAAAAGCGTTTTCCGTGTGTTTGAAACACGTTAAGATTGATCGATAAATTGTAGTATTTCACTGATACACATATATATATATATGCGAATGTCTATGATCGCGATTGACACGATTGTAATCTCCCGTGCAATTCAATACGTTACGAGAACTCGACTGAATCTAATCACGTGAGATGTTATAGTGTGCTTTGAAGCTTGCAAGGAATTGGAATTATGCAACCAAGCGATTTGAACTTCCCAGGAGAGAGTAATCACCGGAATCTGGGGGAGAACTTATAACGAAATAATGCTATGACTTCGCGAACACGCCCTCGTGATCACATTCTGATTAAATAATTACTCCACGTTTTTATCAACTCAACTGTATTACGTATACTTATCGGTGTAAATTGTTTACGAGAGCAATTTACTCTTTTACTCGTTATTTTCGCGAAAGATTGAATTACCTTGAAGATCGAAGGTATACCTTATTTTGTACCTTGATCTCTTGAAATGAATTATTTTTTTCTTTTGTGCTCTGAGATATGGAAAATGCTCGTGGATGAATAGTCGGTCCCTCGAGTGTAGGAGCGTCTTTCTACCGTAATTTCAATGATACGGAAACTATGCTTAATCCTTTATCATGCAGAACAGTTATCTAACTTGCCTAGAGAAAGCTTCTCGCCGGAATCGGGTGGCAAGGTGAATCCCAGAACGGCCATACTAGCAATCAGGACGCATGGCACGATCAGGTTGAAGAAATAGTAAAGTGTCCGCCTTCTGATGATCACCACGAACGTTATATCTATGTAGGGCTCCGGGCAGCAATTATAATAAATTTCGTTCCTTTTACCAGGTACCCCTGTAACAGAAGAGCAATTTGTCAGACAAATCGACAGATTAACCGAACGAAGATCGATTGTACGTATGCAGAATCTTTACTGTCAAGTGTTTGCATAATAACGAGGATGAAAATTGTAGTCTTCAAGAGTGTCGTTCTGAGAAAAACGCGTCTGAAGTTTCGATTACTAGTTGACTTCGTTAAACTGGAAAATTTTCGTTAAAATTATTTGGACTGTTAAGCAAAAAACGAAATTCCATTTTCTCAAACTTCAGAGGTGGCCTAACCCCTTGAAAATAAAAGAAAAAAGAGTGTTTCGATGATTCCAAAAGTTTTCCTAAAATAGGCTGACAGAGAATGCTTTAATTTCATTAAATCTTCACGACTGACTTCGTCAAATCGGCTCTAATGGCAGAAAATCACAGAAAATTTTCGTTAAAATTATTTTAAAAACTATAAATTATCAATTTAAAACAAAAATTCTATTTTCTCAAACTTCAGAGGTGGTCTAACCTCTCAAAGAAAAACGTGTTTGGATCATTCTAAAAGTTTACCTAAAATTGTCAGACAGAGAACGCGTTAATTCGAATTTAGGCGACACCTCATCAAGCTTACGACAAAACTAACGTAGAATTTTTGCTGAAGTTTCTACCATGTAGAGATTGGAAAATCACAGAAAATTTTCGTTAAAATTATTTTAAAAACTATAAATTATCAATTTAAAACAAAAATTCTATTTTCTCAAACTTCAGAGGTGGTCTAACCTCTCAAAGAAAAACGTGTTTGGATCATTCTAAAAGTTTACCTAAAATCGTCAGACAAAGAACGCGTTAATTCGAATTTAGGCGACACCTCATCAAGCTTACGACAAAACTAACGTAGAATTTTTGCTGAAATTTCTACCATGTAGAGATTACGTAACACGCGAGACAGTGAGGTCAATGCAACAATTATAACGCGACGGGCAGAAAAGTGCCAAGTGCTCAGAGACGACGATTTCACTGTACAAGGAAGGAGTTTGTGAATAAAAGACCGGGGCTCGATAGCGATGACTCAACTCTTTTATGCGACGAGCACTATGCACTTGAATTATCTCGGGCAACATAACGGAAGTGAGTCGACGACTTTATTTTCAAGTGTTTCTTCAGTTACAACCACATTTTGTCGCAGCTGAAGTCACTTAAGATATATTTCTGCCAACGGCTTCATAACCTTCCTATGTATACGGTCCTACGTCCATACATGCATACGAGAGAATCTTACACCGTATTCACCACACGGGAAATAAAAGGTATACGTGCTCAAAGACTCCAGTCGCTTCTATTTTACAATTTGCATAAATTCCTCTTTACTACACTCTCTCTCTCTCTCTTGGGCGCAGCTGAAAAATTCGGTATTCCGCCGCGTTTCCTAAGAAATTCCATTAATAAGTTTCTCAATTAACGTTTCCTTTTTGTATTTTCAAATTGAAAAAAGGTAGATGTGGATATGTGCACCGGCGAAGGAAAAAGAGAGGGGGGGAAATGTACGTGCGTTTAATTAGAAGAGGGCAAACAGCAAAAATAAATAATTGTTACAGATAATCGATACAAAATGTACGCCGTTACACGCCGATAATTGCGGAAGGATTAAATTGGATTTACGCGACGGTATAAAAATATGTAAATGGACTGATTACATCGGTTAGACGCGTAATGGTCCTGCGAGTTTGTCGAATTTACTTTCCATTAAAACGACAGTAAAACGAAACTCTGTTGATCTGTTGACAATTTCGTAGAATTAGCGAATAACCGGGGAATATGCATTGGAGAAAAGGAACTGTGCGGATTTATTTGCACTGAAGGAACCTTGCATTCGGAGCAAATATTGCACTGTGCTGTGCGGTATGACGGTAAATAATTCAGCTCGCTAGTGGACAAACTATACATCGTTGAACAATTCGACTCTCTCGCTTAACTGTCAAATAGAATTGAAGATTATTTTGTAAAGAAATTGAATGAAAACATTCTTTTGTGTTCTCTAAGGGTAATATAATAGAGCCCTTATGAAAATTTTTCCATCGAGTCAATTATTTGAAAAAAAAAAGGGGGGGAAGATAAAACAATTTTACTCTGTCCTTTAATTGTCAAACAGAGTTCAAGATTATTTTGTAAAGAAATTAAAAGAAAAAAAATACTTTTACATTCTTAATAAATCCCATATGAAAAGATTTTATTTTCAATTATTTTCTTAAAAAAAAAAAAGAAGCCAAAGTTATCATTTTCAGGTCTCAGAGACGGTCCAACCCTTTAAATACTTCTCTCCCCGTAACTTCGAAAGAACTCCGTAGGCAAACCTCGACCAAAGAGAAGATGTTTGAACGATCGAAGGTTTTCGAACGCGTCAGAAATATTCGCGAACGATCGACTCACCTCTGCCGGCAGTGGAACTATCTGAGAAACTATTCCCCATCTGGAAACGTGCACTATCATCGCGCGCGTAAGATAAGTTGGTCGCAATTGAAACAATTAGACTTCACCGAGACGCGGGAACTTCTAATTAATTTTCAGCCGGGGAAAACGTTGCAACCACGTGTAGCTTTGATGAAAATCTAGATTAGATAAAGCCTGGTCGGCAGTAAGATGCAGCTGGTGTCGACCTATGAAACGATTGATCACACACCGGTCCTTTTGTGTCCCAGAACTTGCCGGCGGAGAATTTAGAATTGCTAATCGTCCAGGAATTGCTTTCACGACGAGCAAACTACTCGACCGTGCGAGGAAACGATCCTCGATAAGGGTTGTAAAAACTCACCTAACAGATCCCACTCGCCGTTAGTGATGAAACTGCTGATGTCACCTCCGGCCTCGTCCTGCAGTTGCAGGTCCAACTGTCGAAATTTATCACCAGATTATTATCACCGCAGTGTGCAACAATTTTCGTCCTTTCGACGAAGTCAATTTTACCATTTCTATTACACTAATCGTCGGAGTAAATTACGCAGTTTCGAAGATTTAAGGGTTTCACGGCCCGGGGCGTAATTATTATCGAGGCTTTCGGGTGTAGTCGTGTCCTTATGGAAAAAGTGTGGTAATTATCGGTGTGTTTGCACCGAATGCAACGAAAGCCTCGATGATAATTATTGCAATTTCATTTGACAGTATCTCGAAGGTAATCAACTGCAACTGATCAATTTCTCTAATGAAAAATATTGCGAATTAAAGGAGAAATTAATTAGTCATTTAGAGAGACACTTTACGTCGAGAATGATTTTTCCAAGTTGTTCTACTTTCGAGCACATGTCAATATTAAGCTGTGAATTATGAAAGCTCGGTGTCGTCGAGAGAGAAAGGGAATGATCGAGAAGGGAATACTATTTTAGATCTCTCGTGAGTTATACATCAAATCGAATGTAACATTGGAAAGCGTCGTATATTCCACTTTCCCCGTCTCTCTCTCTCTCACTTTCCTCCATTTTCTTCCTCGCCCCTCGCTAATTCGTTCTGCTTATTGTCCTCCTTAATGAACCCCCAAGCATTCTCGAATTCCGTCGCACCGTGTAATTCGCATCCTCAATTTTAATTATTCAGAATGATCACGAGCGACAAATGAAGATAGGGCGGGCGTTTTCGGCACCGTACACACAACTACAAGAATTGCAAATATCTCAACCCTTCCGGGTTCTGTGTTCCAACAATCTGGAGAAGTTTCGTGGAAATTCGCGAAATTGCAAATATTCCAGCTATTTTCCCCGGGTTAAATTGATAACACTTCTTACGGACGATAATTTTTCAAATTTAGAGAGAAGAAAAGTGAGGGAAAGTATGCAGAAAACTTTCGTATTTTTCTTCTCCCCCGGAAATTTCGAAGCTATCGAAGAAATTTTGGTACGCACGGTCATTGTATAATACTAACCAAGAGAAACAGCTAGCGAGAAGTTACATATATTACTGAGAATTCTCTGCAAGCCAGGCTGTCGCTGTTATCGTTACCTGAAATGCATTTTCCACGATTCTTTCGAAATATTGTTGTTCCGCGTTCAGATTTGCCAGCATTGAAAGCACAACGTGGCTCCTGTGCATTTACGGATTTAACAGTTTTGTCGATGAAACATTTCCAAACTGACGGAAGTGCAGAGGCGTTTATAAGTATATTAGGACACCTGTTATGTTCGTGTGGGAAATTAGCGTTTTATATGTTAGTAAAAATTATAGTTGGAGACTTTATTAGAGAACGAATAATTTTTTTCAGGATCTTAATAATTTTTAACAAATTTCAGTAGACGTCTGTAGAATTCAGTAGGCTTCGGTAAAATTTAGTAGATTTCGGTAAATTTTAATCAAATTTAGTAAATTTCGATAGATTTCTCGAGTAAATTTCAAGTGTCCCAAAACTCAAACGAAGTTTTTCTCAAATTTTCTGTCTCCCAAAAAGAACAACTTCGTTAAAATGAACAATTATCACCCTTCCGTTACCACTCTTCAAACCAACAACTCTCGTCTTGCGCGACAAATCTGAACACAAGAAAAACAGACTGGAAAAAAGTTGATAAAGCAAGAACCAACAATTAAACAGAAGTAAAGCGACAAACTGAGAATCCTCGGTGAGTTATTTAATTTCAATTAAATCGGGCTGCTCTTCTCCACGGTGAAAGTAAACCAAGGGGAAAAACCTGGCTTTTCGTTCCGGCTCGAAGGAATTCTTAAACGCATGGCAAACGGAAAATGAGCGTAGAAACAGCTGACCCCTTTTCCACGGTGTCCCCTACCTGAAAGCCGTCATACGTCCAGGAGCCGAATTTCATCTCGCAGCGTTGATCGTCAAAGGGGAACCAGGTAATGTCTATCTTGCAAGTGCTCTTGAATATGCCGGGCGGTACGTATAAGCAGGTCCCATTGTTCTTCACGACGACGTTCGTCGGATAAGTGCCGTCGAACCCTTCGTCCGCGCTGTAACGAACAATCGTTAACGTTAAACGCGGTTCGATTGATTCTTCAAACGACGTCTGGCCTGATATTTAGTAGCTGATTAAACGGTTCAAAAAATAGGGGAGAGACCGTACAGCTTGTTACACAGAAAGTGTACGAACCTGAAAGATACGCTTTGAACATTCAAACGGCGTGTTCTTGGGAGTTACTTTTAGAAATACTCAGACACTGTATAGGCTTGATTTTTCAGCGATGAATTTTGGTTAATTGTGAAAAGTTTGGGTTGATTCTTCTTTGCTGTGAAACCTTGTATTGGTGGTTTGATGCAATTTTCTGTGGGAAATTTTGTTCAGCTTCTCGCGGTTAAAAGTTTCGTATTACCGAGGATTAAAAATGTGAAAATTTTCACGTGGTTTCGTGGGGGGGTGTTGAAAAGATATTCGAACTACAGTTACTTCCAAAAATATACAAACACTGTAATACAGAGTTATAAAATCTATATTATAGGCTTGACTTTTCAGTGATGAATTTTGGTTAATTATGAAAGGATTTGGTTGATTCTTCTTCGCCATGAAACGTCATATTGTTGGTTTAACGCAAATTCATGTAGGAAATATCGTTCAGCTTGGATTACTGAGCATTAAAAATTTAAATAATGCGAAAATGACAAAGAATGGAAATTATACTGGAAAATTTCCACGTGATTTCGTGGAGAGGTGTTTACACGCTTCGACGTCTTTCCACTATTTGCATTTAAGGTAGAAAATAGTTTCTCTCCTCCCTAACTCTTTTGTTTCTAACGATTCTTCGTTCTCGTTGCAGGTGCATCCGAAAATTGAAATATTGAATTACACCGGATTTACTTACCAATTTCGTTTCGTCGGGCGATCGATTTGTCACATTTGCAGCGATACAAAGCGCGCTGCGTTTCACGCTTTTCTCTTAACGACCGAATTGTCATTTCAGCAAACTTACGTTCGATCAATTTTCCAAGCATTCGCGTAAATTCCAACAACATACTTATAAAATATAGGTAATTTTAATTTAAAATTTAAAATTTTCATTTAATCCGCATTTCAACGATAAAGAGGAACCGACGAGATCAGTTCAAACATCACAGCAATGTTACACTTTCCCCGAAGAACCTGCATTGTTCGAACCGTGTATCGGAGCATTCAAAGGTAATTGAGTTAGCTTTTACGTCACTGTCCATCACGTGTTATAAATGAATAAATTTCACTGTCTATTTATCGTCCCGTTTTGCGGTCAGAAATTTAACAATGCGCCTGATCGTCTGTTCAGAGACGGTAAATTCTAATTGCTAGACAGCGTCTGATTTATTTCTGCTGCGTGTCTGCGCGATAAATTGTGGTTATCGAAATGAATAAATTCGTTGTCCATGTAGAGACGAAAGCACGGTCGTTGCACACGTAGGCCAATGATTCTACAGAAAAAGAGTACTTACAACCTCCTCTGTACGATTGAAGAAAAAAAGAAGATGAAACACATCCAAAAAAATTTCATTCGTTCGTTAATTTAATTAAGGTTGCATCGTTAAGGAAATTAATCAATTGTCTCGATATTTTCCGAAAGAAAGGATTTCGAAGTTCAATTAGCAGCATGAATTAACTATATTCGTTAAAGTGACGAATCCTACCATTTCCAATTCCATAGAATTCTTTGAACATTGCCACCAATGGTTTACCAAATTACTTCTACAGAAATGAAGCAAAAGATTTGAATTTTTTGATACGTATGTATGAGAGTGAAACTGCTCGTTTCGCGATATTTCACAGTGGATAATAATCGAGCGTTATCCAGAAGCACCTCGAGCTAATTTCGTGCTTACACTCGCGAATTAGATCGGTACACAGTACACGGGCAGTGTACACAGCACAAGGACAGTTCCAGCGACACACACAATCCAGTTGGATTCCTTGTCAAGGAAACGTATGAAGGGAATATCGGTGAATTCTGTTCGCCACTTCGCCCGAAGGTAATTTAAAGGTTTAAACCAAAGCAATCATTAGGGAGAGCGGTGAGCATTGAACTGGGAACCATCTAACTTGCAGGTTTGACTTCCTTCTCCCTTTCAACTTGCTTCATTTAGCCACAGTGGCAGCAAATCGGGAATTATCGGAAAGTCGGAGAAAGGATAGATTGCTCACTCACAATCTTCCTGTATTCTACACTCAGGCCCCGGCATTTCGTTCCAACGGTATTCAACAACTTACTTCGGCTAGGATTGATTGAACCATCTAGAGATAAAACTAGTGTTCTCAGAAAACTATGCACAATTGGAAGGAAAATTGAGCGGCAAAATAAAACAGTTATCAAAATTCTATTAGCTCATCCTGAAAGTTCCCCGCGGTTTTAAGCTGTTTACTTTAAAGAAACGTAACTTGGTTGAAACGAAAGATTTTCGTTGAAAATATGAAATATCAGGGAAACTGTTTGAAATAAGAATGTTGAATTTCAAGGAAAGCCGGGACGAGCTAATAATTTCAAAAATTCTCACGCGAACTCCCAGCGTGTACTCCGAATATCATTACTTAATCAGAGACATCTGCACAAGCGGCCTCTAAACGCGCTGTCCAATATTCACGAAATTTGCCCGCACCTTGCATTTTCCACACGCCAGTTAATCCCATTCTCTCAACTCCCTCGGCAAATAATAACGTTGAACTTATCGCACCATCGCAGAGTCCCGTCCTTCCTGAAACACTGTCTCCCGACAGTCGCCGTCCAAAAAATCTGCCTCCACTTCTCTCTGCCTCTGTTTATTCTCGCAACTGCGGGAGAATCGAGGAGTTCGTGTGGAAAATTCTAACCCCGAAAGTCGCTGGTGTATCGTTAACGAACGTCTCGAAAGTTGGAAGAAGAACGTTCGTTCTCAATTATTCTCCCTCTTTCTCTCTGATCCCTTTTCCACCCAGGCAATCCCCCTGTGTAAGGACACACGGCACACAGGGAAATATGATTTTGAATGGGATGCATCGGGACGATTCCACGGGGCACGGATATAAGGCGGGTTGAATGGTATACATAATATACTCTTGCATCCAGGCGACTAAGGATTGGTTGGAATCCGGCCAGTTGGCCGCAATCCAATCCCTTATTTCATTCTTTTCGAATCCACCCTCGTGTGCTCACCCCTGCCTGCCTTGCCACACCCACCAACATCGCTACCAACCACCCACCCCACCCTTTAACCAAACCTTTCCTCTCCTCCGCGAACCGCCCTTTCACACCACACCGCGCACCCTGTGTACGCTTGCACGTTTCTTTCTGCCGCATGGTAAATTCGTATAAGCGTCGGTCCCCTTTGACGGCGAAAATGAAATTCCCATCGGTGCCCTGTGAGGCTGAAACGAGGATAATAATGTGTGTGCAACCTGGCACGCCGCGCGCGCTATGGTATTTATGCAGGCCGAGCCGGCCGGGCCGCGCCGCGCGCGATGAATTAGTATCGATTTATGTTTAAACGTTCCAGTTATAACGCTGGTTCCCAGTAAGCGGGATGCCTCGAATTGCCTCTAAGTATCAATCTGCTTCGGGGTTGGGCCGATTTGTAATTTCACCGGCTGACAGCTTGTTAATCCACCGATGAAATTCATCGTTACGGTCGGACAGATTACCTTTCGTTATCGCCTTAGACACCGTATACAGAAGGATGTAACCTCGATTATATACAATTCACCGTAAATTCTGTGTTATTTTTTCTTTTTCTACCCCCTTGATAATTAACGTTCGGATCGATGAGACGACGGTTCGTTGTTCATTTTTAAACGAACGTCCTCGATGGGAGAAAAGTCGCAAATGATATTGGCATACATCGGAGGACATTAAGTATTTACCGCTGCGACGCTCCGATAAACTTTCGGCTCGATACGCTCCACTCTGTCTCTTCCGCTCGGTGGAAAGGGGTTGGTGAAAAAAGAGTTCATTTCATAAAGTTCGTCTCGACTGTTCATGCCAGAGAGTAGTACCTACCTATCGTCGTTTCCACGATTGACAGCTATCGCTGGGCCTTCGTATGCACATGTACACACATACATGCACCACACGTAGAATGCACAGCTGCATCCGAGGGACGTTCGAGTATTTGTACGAGCCAAGTTCGACCAGGTAAATAGTTTCGGTTCATCGGCCTTCGAAACCTTTTCCAACTGCATTGCACGGTTCTGTGCCGTGTTCCACGCTGCACACAGGAAACCGGGGAAATCGGAAGGCAAGAGGGGCACATGCACCGTGATCGGGGTTACACGTACAGATGGAAAAACGGGTGACGTAGGGGGTTAGCAATTGGATCCTTTGTGTCGCGGCATCATCCGAGTTTTGCGATCGCGAAAAAGAAGAGGAGAAAAAGATTAAGTGGAAACGAGTGGCCTGATGCGGTTTACGCGAAACCTGCCGTTCAATTGCACTCGATCTGATCCTTTCGTGCGAATTAACCTTTTGGAATAATACAGAGAAAGCGGGAATATCGTGATTCTTTTTTCTTCTCTGAATTGAACATCGCTAAAGAGAGGGTATCGATCGAACGAGTGAAAGATTTTCGAAGGACTCGTTTCAAACGATTTTTCTAATATATCGCGGGAGGTTTGAAAATCACTCGGTTCGGTGTTCCCATTTTTCGTGAAAGATTCTCCCGCCTCTGTGCAGAGGATCATTGTGAATTAAATAGCTGCTTGAACCGAGACACCATTGTCGATGTGAAACTCTCGGGTGCAACTGGCTCCATAGATATAACTCCATTATTGCACGACATTTGGCAAAGCCATCGCTGCCAGATAGTTCTCGAAAATGTTCCCCGGATTCGTCGTATCAGCCGAGATTTTCTCGTCGTTCGAAGTGAAAGATCGCTTTGTACCTTCGGCCAAACTACTTTCCCTTCCCCCGTGTCTCGTTGCTAAGCCCGAAAGTCTTCTCGATCTTCTCGATGTTTGATTGCAGACATGCAAAACGTCAATATTCCCGTCCGGCGGGGCCAACGGAAAATCTGGTCTATCGGAAAGGAG